TTTTTAAAATCGCTGACCCAGACGGCAGGCGAGGTTTGTTTGAACAGAAGTTCCTGACACATGCGCAATGTCATTTTGCAATGAGAAGAATAACGTGCAGTTCATGCCAATTCTAAATCAGTTACAGTTAGTGATTAGGGAGACTTGGATAGGAGTAATGCAAGTGACCTAGCTCTATTGGATATTGGAGGTGTATATGATTACAAATGAATCGCACAATCAAAGAAAAAAAAAACAAAAAACAAAAATAAAAAAAGGTCAACAGGTTGCGCACGATATCCTCGGACGGCGAGTCGATTCGCGGTATTCGCGGATGGTAACACTATTGCCGTGCTCATTTCAATCGGTCCGAGTCGTAGGTGCACGAAAATATGAAATAAAATGGTTCAAATTCTTACAAGATATTATTATTATTTATTGTCAAATTTTGCCGCCCCCCTAAAAAGTACCGCTCGGGGCGGGCCGCCCCTGCTGCCCCTTTACGCTACGCTACTGCTTGTGGCCCAAAACTCCTTGACTTCTTCCAATGCGGCCCAGAGAAACAAAAAGGTTGGACACCCCTGGTTTAGTATATAGATAAGGGATTTGTCTGAGCCTCCATCTCCCAAATCAACACGACCCCTCCAACACTCGATTTACCCCTCCAAGTGTCAACTACCGATTCGAAGCACCCGCGAGTTAGGGCGCGCATTTTAATTACTCTAGCTGGTGTCAGGTCCCTGAGAAGACCGAGATCCCACGATCTCGTTGTCATCCTTAATTTAAATAGTAATATATCGCCATCCTTGACAAGTGAGCGGAGATCTTACCGACCCCGATCTCACAGGAGTCTAGTTTCATTTATATTATGGTGTTTTAATTGTTGAATGTACTAAGATTTTTAATTTTGTCATTCTTAGGTTCAGTTTCGTTTACAATGACGTCGTCTGGATGGCGGGTGAGAAGAGATCCTCTGCTATTCATAACAAACTCATAAAAATTCTTAGGATCTGACAGACTTTAACGGAGTATTTCGAAAAGGAATAGGCTCCAACTTTTTAATGACTTATCATTCAGTGACAAATTATGCAACTCTGTAAATAAACAGAAATCTCGAAAACAGTGGCGTAGCGTAGTGGGGGCGGCAGGGGTGGCCCGCCCCGGGCGGCACTTTTAGGGGGCGGCAAAATTTCACAATAAATCATAATATCTTGTAAAAATTTGAACCATTTCATTTCATATTTTTGTCGCACTTACGATTCGGACCGATTGAAATGAGCACGAAATTTTTCATGACTTATTCTATGACGAAACTGAATTTTAGTCTCTTAAATTGAAATACCTAAATAAGGGGGCGGCGAAATTTTCCTCCGCTCCAGGCGGCTGACACCCACGTTACGCCACTGCTTGAAAAGGCAATAGTGCCTACCTCCCAAAATTTTCTTTCTCCTCTCCGATACGGCACCATTTCATTTCGATTAATAAAAACATATCGAAAATTTTAGTGTGAAATAAAACCTATCAAATAGTCAAATTAATATTCGTTTATCATGTCACCGCTTTAGACAATATACTCTGTGTTTTTATGAAAAAAGACAATCAAGTTCTCATCTCAGTCAGGAGTTAAAAATATTTTAATACACAATCACATCCAATAAATTAAATAAATTTATTTTTGAAAATTCAATAATTACCAGAGCCCCTTCGGCCGTCAATTTAAAGCTTTACATTCTTTAAATCGAATGTTTCCGCTTCCCGGGACGAGGACCCGGGGGTTGGATTTATGGGAAGCAGTGTATTGGTTATTTCATTTTGTTCAGTCATCGGCCTACCTATCAAATGAGAAGTGATTGATACGTTACTGCATGAATGCAATGATTCAGTAAAGGTTAAACCAGTGTTTCTCAACAGGGCGGTATCGCCCCCATGTGGGCGTTTTACCATGTTGAGGGGGCGATTAGGAACAATTTATATTTTGGGGGCGAAAAACAATTTTCTGGGCGATATAGTAAAACATTATATTAAGAATAATTAGATATTTTATTCGTTATATCGTACAATAATTAAACAAATAACATTATACTAGTCACTAGTCTATTCAATGCAGTACGAATTTGGCATTAGCCTTGGCCCTCGGCATCAGAATTTTGTAGTGAAGGGGGCGATACTACGTTGAAGGGGGCGACGATTCCTTAGAGGCTGAGAAACACTATGTTAAACGTTGGATATCTTCGTGTAAAATGATGATATGTCAGTGTATGAACAGTTCTTAAAAGATGCAATTGCTAGCGAGATATTCAGAAGGCAAGCGTGTGTCACGGACACATCTGAACATCGATGTTTGGCTGGGTATATTCGGCGCTTTCTCCTAAGGTGATTGCGCTAGAGACCAAACATCCCGCTGGCAAATGCCCCGAAATCTCACCTGAATTAATTTTCCACCTTTGAATCGAATGAATTCAACAATGGGACACTAACAATAAAATTGAACAATATTATTCATTGTTGCGTTTTATTACGTTAAAACAAAATAAGAATTTATGTAATTTTTATATTTTAATTAAAAATATTTTTGACTTTTTTTTTATACTCTTTCCGCCCTGTGGGCACTGGGAGGGTATCTTATAGCAGGCCCATTATGGGTTCGGGCAGACTCACAATGGGGCGATCGGGTGGTGAGGGACGGGCCCGACATATCCAAGCGGATCACCCCCCAGAAATTTCCTGGAGGTTCCTTGACTCGTCTGGATTCGATCCCGGATCTCGGATCCCCCAGAGCGGTAGGTTGCTACCTTGACCGCTCAGCCATCCTGCTTCCAAATTATTTTTGACTGTATTAATTTAAAATGAAATAATATTTTAATTATAATAAATTAAGTGAATGATGTCATTGGTTTAACCTCGTTAATAAGATGACATTTATAATGCATTCGCTTTTAAAATAAAAAATATTGGATTTAGAAAATTTAGCTTGGTCTTACATTTTAAATACATTTAATGATCTTGGAAGGTGATAATAAATCGTACTTATAAGGTGATAAAAGTCGTCTTACAAGTTACTAAGGACACTAACTTGTAAGATGCTATTTTTCATGCTTTTAGTGAATGGTTTGGCAAGGTAATGAGGGACGGGGTCTGGTGCAATTTTCCTTACACTATTTGTAGTTTTTGAATCGGAAATATTTCATGATGTATACTCTCACTTCTCGCACTACTAACGTGGGTTCCTACAACGGAAATTCCTATAACGTAGCGAAAAAATTGCGGCAGTATTCGTATAAAGGGACTCGTAAAAATTCGTATCCCGTCGTCGCCGACTCGTGTCGCGACAAGATTGGTCGAATCTGGACCAATAGTGGTTGAGCAGCCGAACTACTTTCCGCCGTCCAGCGCCACGCTACAAAAAGTTTAGGCGGGTAAATTGAGTTTGCTATCGTCTGTACAGTATTATATATAAATTAGGTACTGTACATATAATTATATATTAATTATATATAAATTAGGTACTGTATATATAATTATATATTAACTTAATTTATTGTAACTTTATTATAATTATATATATACTTTCCGCCGTCCAGCGCCACGCTACGGAGAGTTTAGGCGAGTAAGTTGAGTTTACTATCGTCTGTACAGTATGTAAATTAGGTACCGTAAGTCTAATACAGCACTAATTTTATACATTTCTTGTGAAAGAAACATTTCTTATTCAACGGCCATAAAAATTATTTCTATTAATAATGTCTCCAAAGGTCAACGAATTTTTCACAGAAAAATAATTTATCAGAAAACGCGGCCGCCGTTTGGTGCGCTGCTCCGCGACGAAAACAAGCGTAAGGAACGGCGTAGTCAAACGGTGCACACTCGGTAAGTAATCCTACAAATTTTTGTTTATAGCATAGTTTATACGGATTATTCCCAAAAAATTATACGTGTTTTGGAAATGTTGAGTCGAATTAGTCTAGAATCGGTTAATTTTATAGAAGAAAACCTTTCAAACAGCCTAGTCCGCAAACTTCACACGTGTCGGGCTGTGATTGGCTAATGTATTTAAGGATTCCTACAACGTAAAATTCTTATAAAGTGGAACGTATCTAAGGTTTGTGCAATATCTGCTATTGGTCTAGATTCGACCAATCCTGTCGCGAACGAGTTGGCGATGACATTTTACCGTATCATACGAGTCTCTTTTAGCGTGTTTATACGAATACGATCGCAATTTTTTCGACGTTATATATGAATCCGTATTATAGGGGTCTACTGTATCTTCTATATGGAATAGATATAAGTATCGATAATGATAATATATTATGCATTTGTAGGCATTTTTATGCATGAAATACAGCTAAAAAAGCTTTGTTTTAGTAGTCAGGAACAGATTAATCTATTTTATATTGTTTCTTATGAGAAAATTTGTTTCGGTTTTCGAGCAACTTTTAGGAACGAATTAAGTTCGAAACGCGAGGTTTGACTGTAACTGTATTTTATTTAAGATTCTAGCAGTTTAAGGTATATTTTAAACACGTGGAAGGCGTATAATTGGTGGGTTAGAGGTATGTTGATGGATTATTACACGTGACCACGGTTGGTCTGGGATATATATTTTTTTAAATACTGTTTCCGTCCTGTGGGCACTAAGAGGGCTCTTATAGCAGGCCCATTATGGGTTCGGGCAGGCCCACAATGGGGCGGCCGGGTGGTGAGGGACAGGGCCCGACATATCTGAACGGACCACTTCCGAAAAATTCCTGGGGTTTTCTTGACCCATCCAGATTCGATACTGGGTACTCCCAGAGCGGTAGGCTGCTACCTTGACCTCTCGGCCATCCGGCCTTGATCGTCAACGTTACAAGATGATAAAAATTATTTAAAAAATTTTTTAATATATCAAAAATAAAATATTCTAATACATTAATAATATTTATTATTTAATAGAAAGTATTAAAAACCTATAAAAGTAAAGAAATATTGAAATATACGCTTATTGTTTATCATGACGTAATTTGTTGTCATATCAACAGTCATCGATCTGCGCCAGAAGAGTGCAACACGTCCAAGATGGCGTCGTCAGGAGTAAATGCGATTGATGTACAGGAGAAAAGGAAACAAGTAAATTACCTTTACGTTATCTAAAATTTATTATAAGAACCGTATTCTTAATCTCGAATTTTCCAGTCAAATATGTAAACTATAATAAAGTCTTTTTATGTATACAATCATTTATGCTCAACATAAATTATTATTAGGTCCATGCTTGATAATGGATAAGCTCTGTTTTATAAATTAATTAATTGTTTTAATTAATTAATCCACAGTTTTATTGATTTTAGATGCGTATTTGTTGAATATTTCTGTTATTTATATCATTATCTGCTTATCTCTTCCATAAATGCATCATTATCTTGTACTGTACTTTACATAGATTGTTGCTACATGTTATAATATTTGGTAGGAGTTATGTACATGAATTATATAAAAGTAACCTTCTAACATTTCCTATACAAAATATACAAGGAAAAACACCTTACATTTGTTTTCCTTATGAATAAATTATTATAAACAAAATTTACAGTATAATATAAAATGTATTATTATTAATTAGAATAGTTAGAGGAAGATACAGATACAGTGCAAAAATAAATACCATATATCTATTTATTAATCTATTATTTATATTTGTGTGTTAACTTTTCGGTGTAACTTTATTACAAGAAACTGACGAAGCTTGAAATTATCCTCTTGCTTAATATTCTGTGAAGTTTAAGTCATTTTTTTAGCATTTAAATATTAAAAAAGTTTTTAAAAAATAATGCTCAATAAGAATAATTTATATGGCCTGTTAACCAGTATGTCAAATAATAATCGATTGTTAGATTGAAAGTTGGTATAAGGAACTTTATTGGCACATGAAATTATTATAATTGTATGTAAGTATAAATGTTTAAAGAGAAGCTTTTGGTGTGACAGCCGGATTGGCAAAGCGGTAAAGGTGTCAGCCTGTTGCTCTGGGGGATCTGAGTTTGAATCTGGGTCGGAATCTCGGAAATTTTATGAACGATTTGACTCAAATATGTAGACTTCCATTCCTTACCACCTGGTCATGCAACTGCAAACCTGATAGAAGACAGCTCATTGTCGATCCAAAGTGCCTACAGGACAGAAAGAATTAAAAACAAAGTATTTATAATTATGAATTTATTATACTTTCATAATTTGTATGGCATATTTAATTTTTATTAGAATTGTTTTGTCTTTATTTTGTAATAAGATAAAACAATTCTAATAAAAAAATTAAATATAAATTGTGAACTGTGAATGTTGTTTCAGCATTATTTGTAAGCAAGTATTTGGGTATGACATTTCTTGCTATTAAATGATAAACAATTGTTACATTTTAAAAATTATTAACTTACACAATACAAAAACATTAGTGTTATATTTATGGATAGTAATGCAAGTCTTTAACAGATCAAATTTTGTATATAATAAACTTAAGATTATTTGAGGATGTTATTTAATATTAATATTGTTAAATTATTGAATAATGTATATCTGTTGTACTGTACATAAATACAGATTAAACAGTTCACATATTCACTACTATAATCAAATTTTTTATGAAATATTAAACTCTCTGTACAAGATATTAATTCCATTTTTTCTTTTTTGCAAAAGAAAGAGAATTAATATAAAATAAGAAAAATTAATGAATTTGAACTGTGATATAAAAAATTTAATATGTGAAATGTCCATTTTCATCATGTAAAGAGATACATAATTATTAAAATTGAAAAAATGTTTCTAAGAACTAGAAAATAAATGAGTTAATGAAAAATAAGTAAATTTAAATAGACAAAATATTTGAACTATGCATGTTCAATAATAAAAAAAAACTCCAAAAACTGAATGTATGTTAACTAAAGTTAATATCAAAAAACCTTAAAGTCAGTAAAAATAGAATATTTATTAACAGAACAAATGTTTTCTACCATGTAAATGGCCATCTTCAGGTTTAGAATAGAGTCTTTTCTGTTTTATACTCCTTTGCATGTTTTGACTCACTTTGCAAATTTGTAAGTTTTGTATGTTTTTAATTTCAAACGTTCTTCCTATTCTATTCAGTAATTTTATTTTAGAACCTGAAGATGGCCATTGTATATAGTCAAAAGATATTAGTTTTGTTAATAAATGTACTATTTTTACTGGATTTAAGGTTTTTTGATATTATCTTCAGTAATTGTACTGATTTGAGGAGAAACACAAATAATTTAGTAACAATGTATTAAGTTAATTTTTTGTAATAATTAATATTTTATACCCTTTTTCATTTTTTAAAGATCATTACGAATTTGTTCAATTCTTCTAAGAAGTAAACAAAAATTTTAACATTTAATTTACTAGAAAATTCTAAATGTTTACATCATTAGTAATTTTTTATACTTAGAATTTGCACTGATAACACCTTTGTTAACATAAACAGATGTTTTAAAACATTGCCTAGTTAGTAAGCTGACATAGATTTGATTTCTTCTATTGCTGTGGTTCTTTAATGTTTTAATTTTTATTAGTAACAAAAACATAAAAAAAACTAAAGCTGAACTTTCAGTTTTATTTTTATATGAATTTATAAATGATTTTACCTGTTTGTTATTCACAAACAGAGGCGGACTAAGGCTAAAGCGGGCCCTAGGCAACATTGTAATTCCGGGCCTATTTTTAAAATTAAAAAATTAAAAACCTAATTTCCGGGCCCCAAAAATTACGGGCCCCAAAAATTACGGGCCCTAGGCACGTGCCTAGGTTGCCTAGGCCTTAGTCTGCCCCTGTTCATAAAGGTGATTCTGTAATCCTATCTTAAAAATATTTTTGTGAATTGTTTTTTAGATGAAATACATTAAACAATAAAGAAATTAAGCCATTATATGAATCATTATTTATCATCATCGTCATTATTCTGCAGAACATTTTGGAAACTAGATTATAAATTTTACTTATCATCAATACATTAACAAGAAATAATGTAGCATGTCCATATCTTTGTTGAACATGTGATTTTTAACTGAGAAGATTATTTGTGATTAAATTTATGGATGTGTTTTCATTTGATTTTAAAATTTTAACCAAGTATGAAACAATTTACATAGATAAGGTTGAATTGAAATTTTGCATAATTAATATAAAGTGTAAAATTAAAATGTTCAGAACATTATATGTATAAGACTTTACAAATCTATGTGATATTTGCCTTCTTAACTCTAAATATTAAAATATATAAAATAAATACTGGAAATACTGTAATATTTTCATTACATAATGACTTACTAGTATTTAATCATTAAGTGTTCACATACTAAAAGTAAATGAATGGTAATTGGTTGACTTCTAACTCTCACTCTTGATCTCTATTGTGAATATGGTCATAAGAGTGACAAAGAATATCATAAATTTACAATACAATTTTTTCATGTTTCCAAGCTTAATTGAAAGTATTAAATTTATAATGTAAATTTATTTATTTTTAAATTTCTGGTTGCATATTATATCAAAATGTCATTTGTACAAAATATTAATTGAAAATGTGTTTGGTCATTTATGCCATTTTGTTTCATTGATTATTTTTTTTATAAAAGATCAAAGAATGTTAATGGTCCAGGACTTCATTTTTACATTAATAAAGTGGCAAAGCAAAATTTCTGTATATTTTTTAGTATCTAACAAATCTAAGAAGATAAATGAATCACTTTGTTATTTATCAAATTAATAAATGAGTTCTAGATTGCTGGATTTGCATTTATTGTGCAAAGTAACTACACATCCACAAACAATATAATTCTATAAGTGTTTGTAGTTTGATTTTATTTTAAAAATTGATTTTTATGATTACATTTTGTTTTCTAGAAGTTGGAGATTAAATCTTTGAAAAGTATACTTTTAAAACAACCTATTAACTTTATTGAAAAATAAAAAAAAGTATATTTAATTAAAAATAACCTTAACAACGCAATAAGTTTATAAATATTATTAAGTTGTATTCTTTCTTTAATAGTTTCAATAAAGTTAAATTATTATTGAATAGAATAAAAAAGCATCTAGAGTAATGCACTAAAAATTAATAAACCTTATAATTTTCTATTTATAAAAATTTATAATTTTTTGAATAGAAAACTAAAAATTGATTTTGATAAAAATGTTAAGTTAAATTTGATTGCATTTTTACTTATTTTAAAATTTAGTTTTAAGAATATAAACAACTCTATGTAATAACATTTTATATATAATTGAAAAATATTTTATGAAATATTTAATTATAAAATTTTATTCAGGTGATGGTCGGTGATCTGCCCAGTGATTTTCTTCGTATTTCCCCCACCGATCAACAGCAACAACTATCAGCAGATGAGCAAGCAGCAGTCGCATTACAGCATCAGATTTCTGGAGGAAGTTTTGCTCCAGCTAATGTGACAGGAAGGCTAAGTGTTGTTATATCAGAGGTAATAAATGTATATGAATTCAAAACAAAAATAGATTGTTAATCATTGTAATTATTACAAACATTTTAAAAGTACTTGTATTTCATGTATGCATTGTTTAATATATAGACTATGTTGTATGGTCCACGGTTTTATGATAAATTATATTTCTTTCTGTGAAATAAATGAAAATGAGTAAATTGATAGGTTACTAATATTGTAAGTTATGATGTGAAGTAGAATATCTTATAAAATTGTCAGCTTTTTAAATGGGATAATTCAGACTAACAAAAATATTTCAGGCAAAGTTGAACAAGAACTATGGAGTTACGAGAATGGATCCTTATGTTCGTCTTCGCATAGGACATACAGTGTATGAAACCCACACAGATTACAATGGAGCCAAGAATCCACGCTGGAACAAAATGTTTCATTGGTGAAAAAAATAAATTGTTTTAAAAATTAATAGAAAAATAACCTAGTTAAATAACTTTAGCTCAAAAAATAACCTAAAATAATTAGTTGATTAAGAAACTCTTGCTTTGTATGTGGTTTATAATTAACTCTTAATATAGTAAAATGAAATCTCTATGATGGAGTTATATTTGTTTTTAAAAATTTAGTTTGAAGACATGTCTGCAAATTCATCCACACTTTTAGCTAAAAATTTAGTAGATAATCTCCACTAAGCAAAATTATCATTTAGCACTTTTGTCCAGCTGTCTTTACACAGAGCCTTCTTTCCATTATCAAAAACTTTTTCATTTAATAGAATTTTCTAAATGAACAACAATCAAAATCATGTTAGTACATTTTTGAAAGTGCCTTCATTACTTAACAATAACAAAAATATTTTTAAAAATGCATATACAAGGTTAATAATTAATGCTTAATTTAATCATTAATTTAATTATCAGATATTTAGGTTTAATAACAACAATTCTGATTTTTAATTTAAGATTTTCTGTAGGAGCAAAAAGTTCTAAAAATAGTTCAATGTTTTCCATTTTTGTACATTTTATTAAATAAGAATTACCATTAAATTGAGTGTTTTTTGATTTTATTTTTCTCTTCTGTCAATGAAAAAAAAGATTAATAAGAGTTAAGTATAATGTTTAAGAATTGTTTTAATGTAATGAAAATGACCTTGGTGTTTTAAAAATAATAGAGGGTCATATCTCACACAAAACGGATTGTGACCTGATTTATCCAATTAGGATAAAACAGAGATTGAAATTACAGCTTTAATGAATTGTTCCTTGTGTAAATTTTTATGTAAAAATTGTTTAGTTTATTTAAAATGAACTTAATTCTATGAAATAATAGTTTCAATTTGAATAAAATAATGTATCTCTTTAGTTTAGAAATACTTGAGCAAAACTGATAAGTTAGCTGTATTTGATAATTAAGAAATTTTATTGCAGATAAGTAATTTTATGATAAATAAAAGGTTATTTTAAAAGTTTTCTTTTTCTTTTTTTAGCTTTTTATTTCCTGGGGTTAAAACCTTTTCTGTTAATATATATGATGAGGTATGATAATTTTAAAATTTGTATCCACTTAAAAGAAATTTACTTGTTTATAAACTGTTTATAAATGGTTTTTAACAGTGTGCATTCAGCTTAGATGAGAAAATAGCTTGGGGACAGTATCCTATACCCGAATCAGTTTTTAATGGCGAAACAGTAAATGAGTGGTTTCCTCTGACTGGAAAACAGGGAGAAGATAAGGAAGGAATCATTAATATCATTCTAAATTATGTGGTGAGTAGAATTATTTTAACTATTCATAATTAGATATAAAATTTTAAATTTTTTAAATGATATTATATTAATTTTTATTACTATAGATTATTTTTTCTATCACTTGCAACATGACTAAACATCTGGCATTTTGCCAGCTGTAGGTGTAGCTGGATAAGTCTATGTCATAGAAATTGTGCAATACTCCTGTAAATATTGTCAATTGTATACTTAGTTGTTTAAAATTTTGTAGTTATGATGTGTTTTCCTTTTATATTCCCTATTCCTCTTTTTATACCATTTAAAACAAGGACTAGAAATGTTCAATATTTTGTACAGCCTATTCCTGGCACACTGGTCTGTCCTCAACCCATGGTGATGGTTACGACACCTACGCCAGTTCCTTATTACAGTGTGGTGCCAAATGCTATGCCTTATTATTCACCAGGTATGTGAATTTTAGTTTTTAGGTAAAATCCCTTCTTTTTTAAGTTATTAACAGTTATAGTAATAATAGAATAAGCTCATTTGCAATTTCATGTTATTTGGTCATGCGTAGGTAATTTGTATTATATGTTTAACAGCTGCCGAATGTGATGGTGAATGTTGATTAGTTATAACAAATCAAGTTTTGTTCAAATTTCACAGAATGATTTTACATGATTTTATTTTTGAATTTTTCTCTTAACTTCTTTCATAAAATATGTTTCGTTAAACCGTTGGTGAGTCGTAATTAAATTACATGCTGATGTCAAAATAAATGGCAGAATAAATGTGAAGTCATCATTCTAATTTGATAAAATAAATTCAATTCATCAGAATTGATCTTAAGATTTATTTTTAAAGTTATTTATTGATAGAAAGCATTGAATTAAATCATATTTTATTAACAATAATCTAATAAGTTGAAGTTAAAAAAAGCTTTAAAATAATAACTTATTTAATCGGACAATGCAATTATTTTTATATTGCCAAATTTTAGGGAAAAATTGAGTTTAATTACCATCAAAATGTTTCGTAATATTTTTAATGTATCAGAGATAAAATGAATCATTTAGAGAACCGTTCTTGTGTTTACAGTATTATTCATCCAATTGCATAGTGACATGTTATGTCACTTTTCATTTTTCATAAAAATAAATGCAGTTTGAGTTATAACTTTAATTTCAAATTTAAATTTTTTATTGCCAAAATTTGTAAATTATTTTATTGGTAATTATTAGCTTTATAAAAATTAATTAATTCAAAAATAAAATAATTATTTTAATTACTCATCCATGTAACATTTATATATGTTTGCTTGGTAATTATTAATATATCACTATCTAATTGAATCTTAGACTAAATGATTTAAACGAACTAAATACTAATAAATAAAAATGTCTTCTTATAAGTCAGATATACTTTTTTTATTTCAATCATCTATGACTTCAGTGCCTACAGTCCTCTCTGGCTGTCAGCTGACTTTTGCCGTTACCATTAAGTATATGAGGTTGTTGTATATGTTATATTTACACATACATACCATTTCAGGGTAAAAGTGCAAGTCGGTTGAGAACCATAGAGAGCTTTGGGTGCTAAAGTTGTTCCCAGTTGGCGCACTAAGTGACCTATAACAAAAATATGCTTGAATACAATTATTCGAAGTATGACACCATATGCCTTTGTGATATTTTCAATTATCATAAATTGAAGAAGAAAATGTGTGCCAAAACACTTTTATATAAATTACTCTCTACTAATATATGAGAACATTTGTATGAACTAATTTGGAAATCAATAGCAAAAGACCTACTAAGTTTTATGTATGTATATAACTAGAAACCACAGGTTTAACTAAAAATTTTAAACTAAACAAACTAAAAGTATCTATAATGTAAACGAGATGGAATATGAGAACTTGTTGAAGTAGGCCGAATTATCGTAGGAAATAAGTTTCTTAAACTCTTCTGACAAAACAGTTTTTTGTGCTCTAAAATGATTTTTGAATTTATAGTCGTCACATGATTTACTTATCAGCCATTTAAATCCAAGCCTATTCTGACAGGAATGGATTTAAACTTGTGATTATAAAGAAGAGCCCTCTCCTCTCTTTATTGAATAAAGGTATCTCACTTAAATAAAGTTTATTAAATTGAGCTCTGTAGCTTGTGAAAATTGGCCTTTCTAACAGTCAAAATATACTGGTGTTCATATAGATGTGGTTTTAAAAATGCTTGTTTTTCCTCCTTTTGTAAAATATGTAATGTAAACGTGAAGTTTTTTTCTTTAATAATGGTTGTCAGTTTCATTAAAAGTTATTAGAAATTGTTCGTTTAGAGTCTAACTTGTAAAAATTCATTTGTTATTCTAAATCTAAATTTTAAATATCCTAAATATCATAATTCATTATTTTTTCATTAAACCTTTAACATTAACTATGTGATGGCTCCTACGTATTTGTGGCAATTATGGAGGTCATGTGGCTATGCAAAGCAATTCTTGGCATGACCTCCACTGCCAACTGATACTAGTAAACTAGGAGATGGATGAGTCAACGTGTGATGTCTGGATTTGGAAATTATGTTGGTGCTTGTTTTAAAAACTATTTTATACTTACAAAGAAATAAGATCTGTTATATTCACTTCGAATCAATTGTTTTATAAAAGTTAAATATTTCTTAAATTAATTAAAACTTTTTTCTCATTTTTAGTTTATCCCGTTGCTCAGTACCCTAATCAACCAGGCGTTCAAGCAGAAGTACCAGTACAGATATTGGACGAAGATATTAAACAGGTGAAATTAGAGAACGAGAAAAGTAAGAATCTTTGTTGTCTTTACAAATCTTTTCTTCTTTTCTTTTTGCAGGTTCACGAAATGTTTCCTAATATAGACAAAGAAGTGGTCAAGACAGTCATGGAGAGTAATCGTGGTAATAAAAATAGTACCATTAATGCGTTACTGATGATGAATTCGGAAAGCTGAAGTTAGCACTGTACAAAGTTGTAATTTAAATCGATCACCCAGTCTTAATCTGGGCCATTCCCAATCAGTTTAATTATTCCAAAAATGGATAAATTTTATAATTTAATTATCTTGTAAGTATTTGATCTTGTACATTATTTACAGTTTAAATGTCTGTCAGTTTCCCTTAATGTTTTTAGTAGCTAAAGCCAGCATTATGCAGAACTTGATGTACGTAAACAAGAATTTTATGATATGTAAAGTATTTGATACCAAAGTAGGAACATCATTTAATTTGAAAAAAATATAATGTATAAATATTAGCTTTATAATCAAGAAATTAATGATTTAGCTTTGTAAATTTCAATTATTTTAAAGTATGTTGTAACTATGAATATGCATAGCTGCTACCATACCAAATTTAACTGTCGTTAAGGGCACCACTTCTGCATCATTTAGTCACCGTTCTTTTCCAAGTATTTAATTGCAGAGTAATGTTTTTGTGCCAATTTTAAGTGATGTACCTCTTAATGTGTGTGAAAATAAAGATTATACATTTATAAGTTTACATTGTTACTCTTTGCATGCCATAAAATTGCAGCCTTTTAAACCTAATTAAACCATGTTATACAAATTTAGCATAATTTTTTTTAAATTCAAATAAGCTCTTCTAATTTGATCATTAAAGCTTCACATTATTAAATTAAAATCATTACACAATAATTTGTATGGAACCTATTGTGTAAAGATGCTATTTAAATTAATTCTCACACTTCACATATTTGGAATTCTTAGAATATTTATGGTAATTTTACTGATTTAAGAGTAATTTAGAACATGTTCTCAACCAAATAAGCCTAAATTATATTTAGAATTTCATTTGTTTTTTATGAATTAAAGGCAATCGACTGGAAATCAAGTTTTATCAATGTTAAATGAAAGGCGGATGTTTATGGAAAGTGGGAATAAACGCGTTAAACTCTAATAGATCTAAAGTCCGTCGGCGAAGTAATGCCCACACTTCTTACTCATACAGAGGGGCGTCATTACAGCTTGACCATCTTCACAAATTACCATAATTGGATCGCCCGAAAGTATATTGCCTTTAACAGGCCGATCGATAAAGTGCCCCTAGTTTTTTTTCTTTTTGTCTAAATTTCACGTTCTAGAATAATAGAATCGAAAATGTTGCATAACTTAATGCGAATGTTGGATATAGAACGCTCGTATTATTATTATTCCTTTTGGTCAAGAGATCTAAATTGTGTTAAAGAGAATCAAAATTGCATTCGGAAAATATGTAATTGGAACATTATAAATTTCTTAATGTAAAACTCAAGGACGATTGTTGCGTTTCGGGAAGTCGTTAAACTTCTCTAAGATCGTAATTAACATTAATAAACATTCAAATTTATCTTTTTTTTTCAATAGGAAATTCAATGCATTCTTTCATTTTAATATTACGAAATTTATAATATTAAATATTTTTCAACATGCCAAAAAAAAAATAAATAAATTTTCAATGTTTTAGTTTTTTTTAATTACACAACTTTTTCACCTTTCAAATTTACCTGTTGAGTGGCAGTTCGATCGCTTAACATCCTCTTAAAAAATTAATTTAAAAAAATTTAATTATATTTTAAATTATTTTTTTCCCGAAAACTCCAAAAATATATAAATAAAACCCGAATAACCGTTATTCTTCGGATAGTAGTAGTAAATTTGGACAGATGTTAGTTTTAGGGTGGAGCCGGTAATCGACCTCAGACGGTAGTGGGCAGAGAAAAGTTCGTTTCGCCTGGAAGGTTACTTCCTACGCATTATATTTATTTAAAATTTCGCGACCCTCTTCTGGTATTTTTCTTTAAAAAATCAAATTCTAATGTTAATTTTTGTTTTTTACACCCGCCCGAGTATTAATATAACAAATGCGCGTGCTAAAAATCGCGATTAAAAATTTATGCAAATTTATTTTATCAATCTATTTTTCCAGATTTAAGACTTTATAAAAAGGTTCAAGTTTATTAAACCGATAAAACGAGTTAAAATTTCCATATATAGTGGCGGATTTCGGTTAGGAAAGAGAGTGTGGGTGAGATAAAAAGCGACTCCACCCAAGACCTTTTTTGCCGTTAAGAAACACGTTTCGTATCTTGTTGTTTAAACGTAAATGGAAGTTTCGAAAACAATATTGTAAAGTTGTGATGATGAAGGATTACGTCACAAAACAATTCGGATTATATTATTTATTTATTTAAATTTGAAAAATTGACAATACAAAAGCACTACCTAACAATTTTTCTAAAAGTAGAAAAATGACGTTTCACTTCACTAACGAGGCATTTAATTATCAGCGTAACATTCATCGATCGCGCTTAGGACGATTTTATTATTTAATTTTTAACGCTCGAATGAAATAATTAGCCATCGAACACGCTAAAATTCACCAAAGGAGGAAGTCGTAATCGAGGTGTAACAAAAACCCACAGATTCTGGAAACCAAGGTTAGATGAGACCACTTCGCTAAAAGATGGACGCGCGTGCATCGATTCGAACCAATCACCAGCGATCTTATAAACGATTACTATGAGTCACAAGCCAGTTAACCAATACGCTTCGAGATTGTTTTTATTGAATAAGAGTTGAAGCAGACGACAACTGGTAGTCGGTCGGTGGCGGAAGAACGAGACGTAGCACAATGGTCATCAGGGTAAGTGCATATATCAATTATTTATCCAAAAGGATCGTTGATAAAGCCGAATTATAAATCATAAATGATGGAGGATTCGATTTCTGACGTAGTTATAGATGTTTTACGCGGATTTTTTCAGAAATTTGATACAAACAGGGATGACATCAGTCGCGGTTTACATATGGGTGTTGTCTGTGGACTTTTTACACGTTTGTTCCGTTTGATTCAGTAATTAAGTCGCGATATTAATTGCCCTAAAAACTTTTTTTAATTATGGTTCACGATGAGATTAAGTAATTACAGTTAGTGAAAGTAGGAAGTTTATAATTTAGGTCGGGTTGAGGTTGAATTCGGAAGCCCTTAATCATTAAAAGACAAAAATAAAACCAATTTACCGATGATTAGTACAAATTTCCCGCGCTTTTGTTAATAATATCGATTTCTACGATATTATCGGAAAAATGGACGAGATTAAAATCACATGTGGTTTGTTTATGTCAAAATTCTTTCCATGAAATTCTATATAGGATTCGAGAAAAATTGAAATTTCTGGTCTTGTTAATTGTTTTTTTCTTCTTTGCGATAATTATTAAAGGAATAATATATGTAATTTGTAGGCGGAAACTGTGTCAAGAGGGCACAGATGAGAAAAACCTGTTCCGCCCACAAACTTTCCTGCCAAATTTTCTTCAAATCGCATTCTCTGAACTATAAAAAAAATTGTCACAATTCGAATCGTTGCTTCATTCCATTATTGCTTAAACTGTATGCAAACTGTTTAAAAAACTTCAGATGGTTTTTATGAGCAAATATTATGCAATATTTAACCACAAATTGTATGCGTTAGTAAAATAAGCCTGCTTTTCAAGGTCTCTATTTAAAAAGCCATAAATCAATAGTTAAAAAAAAGAAATAAAGGTCAATTGAATTAGCGGCACATTCTTTGCTTACAGAGCGAATCCAGCCAGTGCATGGGCTACTACGTCCAGCAGAGGCCATGGACACCAACTAAGAGAAGGGGCCCTATAGCCGCAGAGTACACTACCCCAGGACCTGCAGCAGTAGCTTTGCCTTCTACCATTGGTAAGTGAGCATCATTTATCAACCATTCATCAATTCCAGACAAGGGATACGCCCGGATATTAACGATCGAATTTGAGATTTGTTGTTACTCAACACCGAGACGTTATGCATTTAACATCCCGCACTTTAAACGCTTATCATTTTTATGTTAAAATTTCAATCGAATCTTTACAAAAAAAAAATCCAACACGACTAGAAAATACCATTGATGAAATGATTTTTAAAAAAATAAGCTTTGCCGATACAAAAAGTGTAGACGCCACAAAGTCAGGTGTCCTACAAACAATAACGGGTCATATTAACATATTGGTAATTCCGCCACCTGCCAAAAAAATCGTTTCGTCTCTCGTTCCTGACCAAATTAATGTTTTAAACAACATGGAGTACCGACGATCGTTCTAGAAAGACGATCGATGCGGTCCTGTGTGTTAGAAGGTACGAGAGGCCAACAGCTGTTTAATGACCCGCTTTTTAAAGTAAACGGGTTGCGAGGGAGAGTGTAAACGGTTGCAATGCCATATTTGGAATTGGATATCAACGAAGTAGGTGAGATCGGTCTGCCTCTACGCTTACGTAATGCGTGACCTACGACGAGTCTGACCTCTCGAAGAATGGATGGATGGCCTTGGAGAACCAGTTCTCTTCTGGCCTATATTTGACGTGAATGGAACATAGTCGCGTGCTATCTCTCGCACGATATTTAAATCTTTGATGGTGTCTAGGATCGATCAAAAACTGGTCTCTCAAATACTCCTGTTAAGTTGATAGCTTTCTATTTATCTTACGTGAGCAGCACCGATTTATTCGGTTAATAACCTCAAATGACAGCTTGTTAAACAATTAAGTCAATAAAAGATAAAAAATACTGATTAAAAAAGCATTTTAAAAAATCCATTAGGAAAGAATGGATGTCTGTTCAACTTTTATGGTTAATTGTTGACATTCACGAAAATAAAACCACAATTTAAAATATTAACATAATTCCAAGAACACAATGGTACCAGGAATATTAATGAAAAAGATTAATTATCTTGCAAAACATGCTGATAAAATGGGGAACCTGGCAATTTGCCTCTCTTGAAAATAGTCTGATTAAATCTTATGTACTGCATCTATTTGTCTTTCTCTTAATAAAAAGTTAATAACAGCTATTATCGGCTTCAAGGTTGAATTGTGCTTCCTGATTACCACTGGCAGGAAAACATTTGGTATAGAGAAAATCTTATATAAAAAATTTACTGCTCTTCATTGTTGTATTGCTTCTAATATTTTAATGTTAATATTAATTAGGTGTTGCTAAGAATGACACTACAAGAGCCAGGTCTCCTGCATTTTCCTTTGGAGGAAAGTAAGTTTTTTTTTAAAATAATAGTCATTCCATAAATCATTTCGGCATTAACTTAAAATTACATGTAATTCCAGACATGAAGAAAAACAAAACTTCTTGACTCCTGGACCAGGTACTTATCAAGTAGATGGTGTATGTAGAACAGGAAAAGAAACTTCTCCAGCAATGACAATTTCTGGAAGACACAAAGAACCGGAACCATTTCAAACTCCTGCTCCTGGCTCATACAATGTCAATGGAGTATGCAGAACAGGAAAAGAAACTGTACCTGCTCCAACCATTTCTGGACGTCATAAGGAACCGGAACAGTTTCAAACTCCTGCTCCTGGCTCATACAATGTCGATGGAATATGCAGAACGGGAAAAGAAACAGCACCTGCTCCAACCATTTCTGGACGTCATAAGGAACCAGAACAGTTTCAAACTCCTGCTCCTGGCTCATATAATGTTGATGGAGTATGCCGAACTGGAAAGGAATCTGTGCCTGCTCCCACTATTTCTGGAAGACATAAGGAACCAGAAGCATTCCAGACACCTGCACCAGGTTCATACAATATAGAAGGATTGTCTAGAACAGGAAAAGAAACAATACCAGCACCTACCATCTCTGGAAGGAACAAGGAACCTGAACCTTTTCAAACACCTGCACCAGGTTCATATAACATCGAAGGATTATCTAGAACAGGAAAAGAAACAATACCAGCACCAACCATATCTGGGAGGAACAAAGAACCTGAACCTTTCCAAACACCTGCACCAGGTTCATATAACATCGAAGGATTATCCAGAACAGGAAAAGAAACAATACCAGCACCAACTATATCTGGGAGGAACAAGGAACCTGAACCTTTTCAAACACCTGCACCAGGTTCCTACAATATTGAAGGGTTATCTAGAACTGGAAAGGAAACTATACCTGCTCCAACCATTTCTGGAAGAAATAAAGAACCGGAAGCATTCCAAACTCCTGCACCAGGCTCCTATAGTCCAGAAAAATGTGATAAAGTGCTCAATTCATCACCAAGATATTCTTTTGGATTAAAAGGAAAAGATGCTAAAAGTGATGAAACACCAGGTATGTATAATAATTACACTGCATATAAAATTAATTAAATAATGTAAACGTTAAAAGTTAAATGATATATTTCAGCTCCCAACTCATATAAAATACGCTCTTCATTGGGATCAAAAGATAGTACTCACATGCAATCACCTAGCTACTCAATGTGTGGAAAAGCAAATGGGTTGTGGGATGAACGTAAAAATGTAAGTTTCTTTTCAAAATAAATATTAACAATAGCACTAATCCAGAATATATTATAAAATGCAAATAAATTCTAAAACATTAGATGCCTGGTCCTGGAACTTATTCTATACCTGAACCCGAAAAATATAAATCTAAATCTCCAAGCTATTCTCTCAGCGTACGAACAAACATTCCTTCTGATCACACAAAGAAACCAGGTCCTGGAGCACACTCACCAGAAAAAGTAAGTTTCTTTCTGTGTATAAAATATTAATCAGAACTAATATTTCAAAACAATCTAATACTAACTACCTTACTAACATTTAGTGCTATCTTCACCATTTAATAGGTGTGGATCACCAAACAAACCTCGCCTTGTTATAGCTTTGGAATTAAACATAGTCCATATACTGCTCCTATTCTTGACCCTTCAATGTTTCAGCGGTATGTTCTAAACACCGCTAAGCACTTGCATAACAATATAAAAAATGGTTTATTAGAAAATAGTTATAATTATTAAACAAAATTGAAATGCATGCTTAAAGTGAAACATTTTAAAATAAGCATTACAAATAAACTCACAGATTCAATTTTATTTTCACAGACAGTGATGAAGCATGGACCAGCTTATACTTTTGGAGTTCGCCATTCTCCACACGCCAGCAATGTAGACAAATCTCCTTAAGGAACAAAATTATTCCCAAGAAATCCCATTGATTTCCTAGGTACTTAATAGAACAAATAATACTTATAAAGCTTCTTTATAAATTTTATATTTTTGTAAGATATTGCAATAATATTCATATTGTGCTTCATAAAACCTGAAAGTGCCAGGAGCTGTACTAATAATCATGGGATAAACTGCACTGCCATAGAAAAAACAAAACTTTTTTTTATTATGTAGCTTTTTTTGAGTTCCTGTTATGAAATGATTAAATTTGATTATATACAAGCCTTGATTATCTTTAGACTCGTTGAATGTTTTAAACATTTATAGAGATTATAAATTGGCAAATTTCTGGAAAAAAGCAATAACAATTGACATGATGTTCCTTAATTCCAAAATATTTTATAACTGTTTTATTTTTAAATTTTTTATTTAAAAGCT